AAGGGGAAGGAGAAACGAATAAAGCATTTGTCCAGATCTGAAAAGTATAATACTTATGACATGACGACATGCATGCAAATAATGGAAGGGTGATGAGTGATTGGATTTCAGACCTCTCCTCCTGCTCGTTAATGTACATAGCCGATGCGATTTACCTCGTACTAAAAGGATTCGAAATTACGAGGGTATGTAGTACAATACCTATATTGTTCCGTTACTCTCGGTTAGTCTTCAATTTATTTGAATATTCGTAGGTGAGCTTGAGGAATAATGCGCTGAAGAAATTTCCGAAGAAGATTATCAACAAATTTCCGAACCTTACCAAGTCAGTTTAATTCATTTGTAACGCTTTTGACACTCAATAGTAGCATCTTTGAATGTCAAGAAATTTAATAATGTGCGTTTTCAGTTTTCAATATTGAAGGAAATGAAATTACTGAATTCCCACAGGAATTCGAAGAGCTGACCTCAATGAAGGGGCTGAATGCGGCGAATAACAAGCTGACATCAGTCCCAGAAGGAATATTCAATATGAAGCACCTCGCTATTCTCGACCTGTCCGGAAACCTCATTGAAGGTAAGCAGCTCCAACTTTTTTATCCTTCAGATTTCTGTGCAAGGACTTTGCAGAATTTTTTGGAACAAGCGGGTCCACTAAAGACTCCGAGACGCCGGACAAATGGTCACTGAGCGACGCCGCGCGCTCATACGATTCAAGTTTGACACTTGTACACAGTTCTTCATTGTGGGGATAGGTGATTACAAAGATAACAGTATGGTTGTGCGAGACTCTGTGCTCAAGGCGGTGGCAATCAGCGTTACGTAGCTTATAAGCCAAATACGCATCTACAGGTTACAGTATTTCATTACTCCTACGTGCCTACTTAACTATACTGCGATAATCATGGCTTTTGAGAAGGGATCTCTGTTGCTTTTTTATCAAGCATTTTCTAACTTTGTTTCGCTTGCTGTAAAGAGCTTCTAGAGATCTTCCGAAGAAAAGTGGTATCGCCCTCACTCATGAGCTTCTTTTCCTTCTCTTTAGCCCTAGTCTCGCGCAGTCCGCTGTGTTTGCTAAAGTCGGGAGTCGGGCACAGTCTCATGAATGTCTACCTTAACGGGCGGAGGTGCCATGTCTGTAGAGATGGCGGCAACTCAGCACCTCTAAACGCCTTGTTGAGTTGCCCAGCGCCTACGATTTCATCTCGCTTGTGGTGCGTGGACGTACGGTATTTTCCGTACCTCACACTACATAGAACTTACGCCTTCCTCAATTTTCCTAGCCTTAGCTACTTCCCATCGTTTCTTCTGTAGGGATAAGAATTGGATTTTCTTGCGCATAATCAGATCACAACCTCTCGTGAGTTCCCATTTGGCGATCTTTTGTTAGAGTCACAATTCGAACTAGCTTCACTAGCCGAGGTTGTTTTCTTCTCGATACTTCACATGCTGACCATAGGAAAGTGTTCCGCGCGCGACTTCCGGGTGACGTCACTTTATCATCACTGATATTCCTATACATATATCACGGTGAAGTGACTCGGGGGTTCATCAGCTGACCTTCAACCTCGGCCTAACGCTGACACTCTGACATTTTTCAAGTTTTGTAGGGCGTGGTTCTTGCCTCTGCAGGGATCGGATCCACGGCCTCCAGGGTATGACACTAGTCGTTACTCCTTGGTCACTGGCTGTTCCTGCCTTGTTCTTGCCGAAAACATTAACACTTTCATCATGCGGTCATAGAAACGGGTCATCTAGCAGTCATGGAAATATCTAGAAACACTCATATCAACTCTTGGTCCTTTCGGATGTTTTTGTGGAGTGGCTTAAGAAGGCTTTAAAAGCGCCCTGGGATATTGCTGTTCGTTTCTTCCACAGCACAGGAATCGTTGTGTGCTCTACACTACTTATACTACTCATGGTGAATGACCCGACAACGTACTAATAGCACCTGGAAACAACATTGCAACGCGAGTCTTCGTAGGGAATAACCAAGATGCCACAAACGTGGCTCTTGCACCATCTTTCCCCACAAGTTCTTACCCACCGGGCTTTGCAATTGTGTTTTGAGAGCCTGCGTAGTTTGTCGATAACATGTGACCTCAGCGATGATGAGTGAGAACACTCTAACTATAATACTGTACCTTTCACCGTAGGTCGGTTGTCTTCACTCGAATGTCTTTTTGACGATATAATGTCTATGGTACT